TCTTCTTTTTCGTCCAATCAATTTAATCAATTTCTCTCAACCTGAATATTAACAGAGGGATTGGTGGGTGCTATGATTATGTCAGGAGTCGTTGGAGCTATTGCAATTGGTGGTTTATACGTCGCATCATTATTCAAAAAAAAATAAATGATAAAAGACATGTAGTATTCAAAATTCAAACTTTAATTTAGTTATGGGCTTACGACCGAATAAATAATTTACTTGCATGTTATAATTTATTGTATATAAGATAATTATAAGGGGTGTCAATTCATCTTGAAAAGTAAATATAAAGATTATAAATATTTTTACATTGCGATAAAATTGAAGAATTGGGATATAAAAATCAGTGGCTTTGAATGGTCAAATTGGTTAAATTGTATTATATTTGTGTGATTAGATTTATTTTGTTTAGGCCAATTTGACCAAACCATGACCATAAATTTTACCAACCTTGTTTTTATAGTTCATTATTTCAGTCGTAGCATTCAAGATGGTCAGGCTGTTCAAAGTTCATATTGTTTTTTCATCAAATATTTAGAACCTTCCTTTCTTATATCTAAACCATAATTGAATAGGCAATTTCCAATCTTTCCTATTTACTTTTGGTTCAAATACATTAAAATTATATTTTTCCAATCTCTTTAGGTATAAATCGCAAGGTACCTATCCAAAAGGGTTAAACCGTTTTAAGCACACAATATACGATAATATATATCTTAATAGAAATTTGCTCACAGCTGATAATAAAGCAGGTAAAGCTTGACCAAGTATATCTGGCAAGAGTGATCGAGCAGTAAGTAAATGATCGTGAGCCAATGTGGCCACTTCAAAAACAATATCATCTAACCCTTTAACGGGACCTGACCTAAATATTTCTTCTTGTGAAATGTTATGCTGGAACGACAAAACCGAATTTAAAGATATATGATAAATGTTTTAACCAAATTCGTAATAAGAATACCTTTGCGAGGATTTCAGTAGGTAATAGCATCCTTCTTTTACTAGCAAGATAAGGGAATGCTCTTAGAATAGTAACAATTCCAATAGCTTTTCCAATATGGCTTGCAGCATGATCTGCTTTCACATCCTTAACATTCAAAGATTCAAGATGTAAATATAAAAGACATGACGCAGTATTTTCACCATATGATTCAAGATCTTTAATAGTAAAATACGGTAAATCATCTAGATTTGCTTCCTAAAAGGTATTAAAAAGTAGTGAATTGTTTATTGTTTGAAAGAAACAGGCCGATTATTAAATACTAACCCTTTCATCGATTATTCTTTTAAAAAATAAAGGTGACAATCGGCAAGTTTCTAAAGCATTGAACAAGACTTGAGCAATTGGTTGTTGAGGTGGCTTACCCTAATACAACAATAATAAATTATATTTCAATAAATCACGCCAGTGGTTAAACATCACTGGTGCGATTTAGAAAGCCGTTATACTTTGGTGAAATAATTAATAGAAATATGGAAAGACGAACCTTAAACACATTATCAATGGTATCACGCCAAAATTGCATCCTTATTTTTCCAATTTGAGGACTACTAACTGAATCGCGAATCATAACTAATTCAAGATTAAAAGCACGTATCGCGTAATAAACCCTTTGAAGATGTTTTGGATAAAACATCGATACAAGATAATTATCCGGATCATGCTTTCTAAAAAGAATATATATTATTTGATAGAAAGTGTAATGGAATCATAAAAAAGAATAGACGCATCTCACACCTAACGAGATCACCGCAATACTCTATCGCTGCCTCTAAACTTTGATCATTTTCTATTTTTATCGTATCATTTGAACTGGTCTGAATGCATTTTCTACTGATATGACTATAAATTCCTAAGCAGTTAAAGCTTCTACGTAAAAAAACTCGATGCATCAATTGTTTTAAAGATCGTAGCATAAGTTTATCTGCATAGCGGGCTTTAATTCTGATTGGTCAATAATTGAAATGACACTGCATATAACAGCTGACTTTAAACACCATGAAAACGAATTGGCAAAGGACACGAATATAAATTCTGAAACTAAACCTTTCACTTTATATGAGTGTCGCTAAAAGAAAACCCGAAAATTTAAATATGACTTATATTTAAATTTTCGGATTTCTTTTAGCGACACTCATATACAGTATATAAAAATAATCCAAAATAATCCAAAAGTTAGCGAGGGGGTGCACTTTCCGTCGTAGAGAGTGTTTTTTTCAAACTTAATCTAAAAATAGCATTTCAGACAATAATGCTTACAGTTAGTTTGAATATAAGCTTATGCACTTTTGGCCAATCAGAATTGGCTAGACAACAAATTTAACCAATAATAATAGTTTTCCGGGCAATCGATTCGAATCGACTAATCAGACAAATGTCCGGACATGTGACCTCATTCAAATGAATATTGTTCACACATCGTAATAAAGTTATCAAAAGTAACAATGGTACTTTCGATCGGACAGATCCTTTATGTTATAATACTTATAATAAATGCTATGGCTGTTTTGAACGAGGATAGATTCCTTGCTCGAAGTAAACATTCCTTTTTATTTTATTTTTATTATTCATTTATTTTACAAAGTTTGTGGGAATTGATCTATTTACCTTTAATTTATGATTGAAAGTTGGCATGAGTAATCAACCCGAAGCAGGGTTTGGTGGAGATGGACCATCGTTTAAGACAAACATTATAAACCTTATATCTGCTGTTCGAACACTAATGAGAAGTAAGTAAATACGAAAAGAAATAGGAAAAGTTATATAGTTATTTTTACTAATCATAATTTTATTTTCAAGTTCCATTAATCGCCGTAAATATTCTGGTTATAATTTACGAAATATTGTTAGGATAAGAATGCTAACCCGTTAACCTGTAAGGTGTGTGTTACATATGTGCATATAAGGTGAATAGGAGATTTTGACGAAGCTTTTATTTTTGAACGAAAATTTGTCTATTTATCGTAAAACCTACAATCAATTCGGAATAAATTCAACTATTAAATAGTAGTAATGATCAAGAAAATCATCATACGAGAAATTGAATTTTGAATATTTTAAGAGTGGTGGTGTTTTGAGGAACTGAGGTTAATTTAATGATCCAGTTATCATTGAACGATTTATATAGTCAATTCTTGGGTGTATATAATGGATAAGTATTTTAAAATTAAAAATGTACGGTATTATAGATTCGTTATATGTTAATTAATAAAAAACCATATAACGGATTTTTTTTAAAATTTTATTAATAGACCCAAAAATTCCGTTAATTTATAGCTGACTATACTATTCGATTTCTCTCGCTAAAATTAAATGGTGCAAGACACACGAATTCAATCATTTGGTCACGAGATATCACCAGAATAATACAAAAATATTATGACTAGGATGAATTGAAATACATCAATTCATCAAATACCCCTGTTCACCTTATGATATGCATATGTTGTACCCCAGATTGGAATTTTCCTGATTGAATCGGACAGTCCGAAATAGGAACTTTGACCGGAATCGGAATTAAAGTTGGAATTTTAATTTTGGTCAATATTCCGAATTCCAATTTTGGATGCAACCTATATATAGGAAAATTATTAAAATACACTGAAAAGAATAATTGACTTATAATAATCAAACCTTTGCGTGATATTATTTAGGATTATAGAAGGAATTACAATAAATATGATTTTATTTATTTATTTATTTTTTTTTTAATTCTCAGACCTTTGATCATGAATTGTTCGTTCTTATGTTGATAAAATTTTCATGATATATAGAGTTTAGCAAATTATGGTAATAGACTTATTAACACATTATTATTATTACTCGTATAAGCTGTTTCCAGCAGTAGCAGAGCTTTGTATCCCGGCAACCAATTCGTTATCAGTATCTGCTTCCTTCATCCTGGTAATGCTACTAACGTAAATC